ATTATTATTATTATTTTATTTTTTTATTTTTATTTTTTTGTAGTTTAGGCCAAAGACGAAACAGAATAACCAAATTGAATCGATCCGAACCTATCAATTTGGGTTGGTTTGATTAGGTCGTTTTGGATGGAAATATACCCAAATTGACTTAGTCGATTTTGGTTTCGAGTTGAGGTCGGCACCTTTTATGATAAAGATGGTAACAAGGCATCAAAAACTTTAAAATGTGAGTTTTATAATTGTTTGATTCGCATTTAGTTGAACTAGTTAAATTTCTTTTGAGGTTAGTTCATCTTCCTTCAAAGTTTGTATTTTATGCTTTATTTTCATAATCAATAAAAATAATACAAAATTGGTTACAGCCTGTTGATGTGGCATCAAAATATCTTCCACGGCTGCTGACTCGCAAGAATATAATAAGTGGCTTAAATCAAAATTCAGTTTTAGGATGTGTTTGATAGGGATTAAAATTAGATTATTTTAATAGATTAGGATATAAGTTTTTGAAATGTGTGGTTGAAAAGTTGGGAGATCCATGAAAGATGTGGCTAATATTGATTGTTTAACTTTGACCTAAATTAAAATAAGATTTTAATCATTCTCCAATAGGCTCTTAAATTCAAAGTAGGCTGAAATTAAAATCCTCTTTTGAACAACTCTCTCTCCACTCATGATATGCTCCATCTAAATAATTTAGTTGTAGCAACTTGCAGAATAGTAAAATGCAGAAATAAAACTGTTGGAAAATAATTAGTTGCAGTAACTTGCAGAACAGTAAAGCGCAGAAATAAAACTTATCGACTAATTGAATATCGTGACAGCACGATGTTTTAAAGTGAAATTGTCCATCGATAATTGCTACGACCTCTTTGGACATTTACTTCCAAGATACAACAATCAAACAAACTACTTGTATAGAAATCACAAGTGGTTTTATAACTTTCAAGTGTACTCCAGAGAAAATATGTGTAAAACTTGAGTATAGAAAATTACCGAATATGGAAATTATGGTTTCATTTTTTGATAATATATTTCCAATGCTAGTTGTGTGTTTATATAGGCAGAATGGATATAACCATTTTCACCATGATCCAGAAATATTTGGAACATTTAATGTCTTGTGGGTAATGGTTGTTAACAATGGGTTGTTGAAAAATGGTCATATTATACTGGGTAGTTTGGCCCGTTAAATAATCACAAAAATGATTAAAATGAATAAAATTATTACTTTAATCAAGAAGCCCAAAGCCTGATTAAAGACTTTTTTATATTACTGCTTGGGATGTGACCTGAATCCCCGACCTCCCAAACAAATTTCACACTTTCCAACACTTGGGCAATCCATCTAAATTAGTTATTTATTTCACATATTATATTTATTGTATAAATATCTAACAATCTCCCATATGAAAGAAAGAAGAAAGATATAAATATTGCTCTGGAGTACTACAGAAATCACGCAGACTTAGATGTCTGTCGACTTGAACCTTGGCTTTGTATATTGTATTGAGCTTACTAACTGTAGAGTGAACTAGGCCTTGAACTCTACAATTATAGTTGGAAACTGAGACAATAGAACACACCTATGACTTCTAAAATAATCATTGAGTTCTTACAGTTGTGTTCATCATTGCTGTGAACTTTCCCAATTTCTTTGAGTGTTCTAGAGAATCAGCCTCATTCTTATAGAAAGCAGCCCCACTTGCATACTCAAATAGGCGCTTTTGTCAAGGCTACACTACATCTAAACACCCCACTAAATATCAGTTATAGTGAACATTAAGAGCATTAGCTCATCCTCTAATCAATATAGTTGGTACTATGCATCATAGGGAGGGATTTGGAATAAATCCAATTTGGTACCCCCATAGACCACTTCAATAACTTTGTTGTTCCATTGAACCTTGTCCACTGGATCTCCAACTGAAAATGTTAGGTTTCCATTTTAGGTTATCTAGTTTGTAATGGGCTTTATCCCCATCATCTTCAATGTTTTTGAACTAGTTCTCTAGTTAATTCTTTGGTTAATGGGTCAGCAATATTATCACTTGACTTTACATAGTTAATGGCTACAACCCCATCTCAAGGAAGTTGACATACAGTATTGTGCCTCCTACTAATATGTCTAGACTTTCCATGGTTGGATGAATTTTGAGCTCTTGAAATAGCTGCTTGACTACCACAATGGACAGAAATAGCTAGAAATGGTTTAGACCACAAAGGAAAATGCATAAGAAAATTCCTTAACCATTTAGCTTCCTCACATGCCTTATCGAAAGTTAAGAACTCAAATTCCATAGTAGATCTAGTAATGCAGGTTTCCTTAGTGAAATTTTAGGATATAGTACAGCTCCCAATGTAAGAACATATCCACTTGGAAGCTTACTTTCATTGGAATCAGAAATCCAATTAGAATCACAATATCCTTCAAGTACAGTAGGAAATTTGGTATAATCTATTTCCTAAACTAGAATGTATCTCAAATACCTCAAGATTCGAATGAGAGCATCCCAATGTTCACTATTAGGATTACTAATATACTTGCTATGTCTATCGACTGTATATGCTATATCAGGTCTTGTCCAGTTCATGAGATACATGAGATTACTGATCGCTCTAGCATATTCTAAAGCGGAAACACTAGAATCTGAATGTTTTCTCAAACGACGGCTTGTACTATAAGGTGTTTTAGCAGGAATACAATTATATTGGTTAAACTTTTTAAGCACTCTTTCTATACAATGTGCTTAGATTAAAATAATTCTTTCATAATGTTTTACTATTTTAATTCCTAGAGTGACATCAGCAACACCCAAATCTTTCATTTTGAAATGGCTTTTTAAAAATTGTTTTGTTATACTAACCATATCTAAATTAGTTCCCATTATCAGCATATCATAAGCATATAAGCAAATTATCACACCACAGTTATTTTTGAATTTGCTATATATGCATTTATCCGCTTCATTTATCAATAACCACTTGATGTCAAAATTGTATCAAATTTTTCATGCCATTGCTTAGGAGCTTGTTTAAGGCCATAAAAGAGATTTTTTTTTTTTAAGCCAATAGACTTTATCATCATGGTCTTCTACAACAAGTCTCTTAGGTTAGTTCATATAAATATCTTCTTCTAAGTCTCTATTTAAAAATGCAGTTTTGACATCCATTGATATGTAGTAAGATCATATGACGAAGCAATAGCAATTAATATCCTAATAGAGGTAATCCTAGTAACAGGTGAGTAAGTGTTAAAGAAGTCATCTCCTTCTTCTTGTTTACAGCCTTTACTTTAAACTTATCAACCAAACCATTTGATTATAAATGAATTCTCTTTATAATGTTGGAAAATAATTAGTTGCAGTAACTTGCAAAACAGTAAAATGTTGAAATAAACTTATCGGCTGATCGAGTTTTGTGACAGCATGATGTCATAAAATGAAATTGCCCGTCAATAACTGTTGCAACTTCTATGGACAATCACTCACAAGATACAATGATAAAACAAAACACTTGTATAGCAATCACGAGTGGTTCCAGAATTCTTAAGTGTACTCTAGAGAAAAAAATGTGTAAAACTTCAGTATAGAAATTACGGAATATGCAAATTATGGTTTCGTTTTTTGATAAAATTTTTCCAATGCCAAATGTGTGTTTATATGGGCAGAATGGATATAACCACCTCCACCATGATCCAAAAATATTTGCACATTTAATGGCTTGTGGATACGTAATGGGTTGTTAATAATATGTTGTTGAAAAGGGTCATATTATACTGGCTTGTTTGACTTGTTAAATAAATTTGAAAATTATTAAAATAGAAAAAATTATTACTTAAATAAAGGAAGCCCGAGAGCCGAAGGGCCAATCAAAGACTTATATTATTGCGTGGAACGTGACCCGAACCTCCGACCTCCCACACAAATTCCACACTTTAAACGATTTGGGCATTCTATCTAAATTAGTTATTTTTTTTTCACATATTATATTTATTATATAAATATCTAACAATCCCCCACATGATAAGAGTTTTAGACTGCCAATGTTATTAATATAATGTAAGCTGCTATGTTTATGATTCTTGCTCCATACCACCAAGGCTAGTCTTTATACAAGAGAGCCTCCGACTGGTTTTGGGTTTTGTTGGAATGACTTGAGTACCTTGGTTTATTTTAAGGTTGATTTTCTATTGTTAATGTCCATAAAATAATTTACATGCAAATATTACTGGCATTGTATTTTGTTTGGTATTCATGAATTGGTCGTATACTCACGTGGTTATTATTATTATTATTATTATTATTATTATTATTATTATTATTTTGATCATCATCATCATCATCATTTTTTTTTTTGGCTGAATTGGGTTTGTTTGATGGCCGGAAAGAATACGGGAATATGTCATTCTTGTAGGGATTAGGACACATGTTGTTAGAATGCCTCAAAATTTTGATTTGATTAAATCTCGTACCTTCATTTCAATCATTGTTGGAATTGTGTGGCCAGTGATCGATTTGAATTTGTATGCATCCAAAAACAGCTGCCTGTTCTCTTCTTTCATCAAACATTATTACAATACAAACATCCAAGAAACGTCTATTTATACGAAGTTTGAAGGAAGTTTCCTACGCCAAAATTTAGGTCCTGCATTCTGTCTTGTAACATCATTCTTCTCAAAGTCACATAGTGTACTTTAACTTCACCTCGAACACATATTTCATATTTGGTACGTTAAATTCTATAAAATTAAAAGAGCGATAAGTGAAATGTATTTTCCCCTCTTATTTCCCTATTTTATATTCTTACAACAGGGTTTTTACGCATATTGTACATGACTTCAAAAAAGTCAAGTAGGTCGAAACTATTTATATTGAAATTAGATTGTTACAAACTAAGCCCCTTTTTGGTTTAACATAAAGTTAATAAAAATTCAAAATCAACAATTAATTTAAACTATATATTTTATGGAATTCACAAATTTATTAACAAAGCATCACATATTTCATCATTTTTTTATCAAAATTTTTAACCTTCAATTTTTGTAGGGTTTAGGATACATGTTGTTGGAATGCCCCATCAATCTCATTTATTTTAAGCTGTCCTTTCACATGTGCTGATTTTGCGATTGCATCAGTATACCCTTGATTTGGATGGACTTGTTCTGTGATTGTGCTTGACTTGATCTAGATGGACTTGTTATGTGATTGTGCTCAAGATGGAAAGTGTTTTTACACCATGCTCCTCCAAGTTCATCTTTAAACTTCATTCCAACAGTGGACACAATAATTTCCGTTTCTTCACCCATGCTAGTATCATTCGGATTGTCATGATCAGACGAAAGAATTTTTAAATAACCTGCATTGACCAAAACAGATAATAATCAATTCTCATATTCGCACAAAACCATTCAAATATAGATGGCTAATTGGGCATTAGCAGAAGTTGTGTCCATATACAACTTACTGTTTTCAAGCCAAATAATCATTTCTACAATAATTTGCTTGAGCATTTTTCATCTTCCGATGGAAGCAAATAATTGACAGTATCCTAAAGACTCTTGAAGGGTAGAAGAGGTGAATGAAGAGGTCCTACAAAGTTACTTTAAAGTTAAAATTTAACAGAATCAGGAGATTTTTTTTGCCTTGTGTCTCCCTCATGGTACTTATTGCAAATAAAACTTTCCTATCTCATGATGTCATACTCATATTATTTCCTACAGTAGAGCCAAATACATTGGGTAAACCCTATTTTAACTTCCTATCTGCCGAAGTTTTGTACCCATTAAATGTTTAGGCAAATATTGAAGATGATATCTATAACAGACTACATTCACAACATGGTATATGGATAATAGTGAGGTTTGGCTATATTTTAGTTTATTTCCCCAAATATGTACGTCAGGAACCACTTATCTGAAGCAAATAGCCATAACGAAATTCAATATTTGCAGTTGAAACAAAGGAAACTAGCTTTACACAAAGAGAGTGATAGATGACAACCTACAGTGCAAAAATTAACAGAAAAAAAAAAGGGAAAATGAAGATTAAGTTCGAAAAAATCTTACCCATGCTGTCGTTGCCATTGAGGTTACCGGCCTGGGAGTTGTCAGCTTCGGTTTCGTCTGCTGCTTCATCACAAAATTGCTGACCTTCGACCATGAAAGATGGGGACAAGATCGTCGGGTTCATCATTGTATCGATGCCGGTGTCAAAGTTGTTGTGGTCGTGGAATGGGTTTTGCCATGATTTCATTTCAGTTTTCGAAGGATAGGTTTACGTTCGTGTTTGATTTTGGAATTGTACTGTAAACGATATGGTTCCAAAAGGGGGGAAAAGGCGCCTTTTCTTTTCTTTTTTTCACTTTTATTGTTTATTTACTTATTTGTTATTATTATTTGCAGTAACTTGCGAGATTGGAAATTTCAAAGTTCTGCCATAACATCATGCTGTCACAAATTCTGTAAAGCATACCATACGTGTATCACAATCCAAAATAATTTACCATTATGGAGATTAGAATTAAAAAGTGAACATGTTTATTGAAGAAATTATATTCAAACGTAATTGGATGAACAATGAATTAGTCTTCTGTAAAAAGTATGTAACCTCGTCTCAATCTCATATAATTGGATGACATATTTTATATTTTATTTTCTTAAATATTAAACATAATTTATTAAAAAAATTACATTCAAACTTGTACATCCTAAATTGATATTCTGTAAAATGTAAGTAGCCCGTCTCAATCTCATATAATTGGACAAACACAACTCATGATTATCACACATAAATAATCTAATGTTAACAAACTATTTTATGTAACATATGAAAATAGAAAACAAGAAAACATGGGTAACTAAATAGAGGATTTTATTAAAATTGAAAAAGATGTCCCAAATCATCGTCCACCAAGCATTGTAAGAGTGACATTGTCAATAGAGACTCCCATCTGGGAAGAGGTGACATGACTACGGTTCCACTCCTCAGCAAAAATTGGTTGCTCAGACAAATCGACAAAATTTGACACGACCTATCCCGAGTCACCCTATTGGACACGAAACGTGACGTGAGCTAATGATAGATACTGACTAAATGTCAAATCTATCACCAAGGCTGACAATGTGTTACTGCACAAAAATGCACAAAAAATCAAATACTTATGTAAAATATAATACGATAGGCCCAAAATATTTACTTCATGCTTCATCCATATAAATCGTAGCACTCAATATGTCGTGTGGCTATTACTTTGAAATCATTAGGCTCTCCTAACTATAAAGAACCATTTGCTACCTATAGGAAAAATTATGGAAAAATATGAGTTGATAGCTCAATGAGTGGGGAAGTCCGAAAATAATTACACTTTTTCAATTTTATATTTTTATTGAAAATTGAGTTCATATAATTGAATAATTCACAAGATAACAACATATAATTATAGCCAAAACGTGAGACAATCACATAACGTCATACAATATCATCTCAAGGTCATGATGTATATGTCAGCTAGTAATCATATTATAATCTCACCACATCAATTGTACTGAAAAATCCACAAAAAATGTCCCTTCTGACTAAAATTTGTAATCCGCCCCTTGGGCTAAGAATTTTTGCCACGGGCCTTTTGGCCCCCTCCATAAACGAAAGTCGGTCTCAAGACCTTTGATAATCAATTTTAGAACACGACCAAAGCCCCTTAGTGAACTATATGTACACTCAAGACCCCTTCATCCATGGTCCAAGACCTCTTAGTATAGTACAGAATACCGCCAAGGCCCCTTGGTGAACTAGAAGAAATATATAATTATGGGTACTTTTTTGGCCGATCTCAATATCGCACATGTCTCACATACCAAGTCATAAATGTACCACGAATAATCTTTGAAATTCCACATGTATCATAATAAAATAGATTTCTATAATAATCATAAAATCGAATACATAATTGCACATACTTTACTAATACACTTAATTTATAAGTACTTTAAAAATATTTAATTTTTTCCAATTACCAAAACTATGTATGCAAAATCCACTCGGTTTGTAAGCAGTTCCCATATCTGTATCGCCGCCTAAAATATAATATAATTTTTAAATTAACAATTAACTATTTTAAGAAATTCTAATACTTAAATAGGCGATACCATAATCTTTTCATGTTTAAACGATTTCTAAAGTTCTTTTAATCATTTAAGCTAATTTTTATTTCATTTAACATAATTGTATAACTCATTCTACTTACTTCAATAATTTCCTATCAATAAAATTGAATTTAAACTAACAATTTAAAAAACTATAAAGCTAAACATAACTACGCAATAAGTAACTTTTTACTTACTTTTAAATTGAAGAATTCAAGCTTACTAGTAGGAAGCACTTATTTTCTAACAACAAAGGTTAACTTTCCCCTCTCTCTCTCTCTCTCTCTCTCGCCTTTCTTCTTTCCCCTTTCTTTTCTCTCCCAGCTCTCGGTTCAGTGTCTGTTTTGTGTCGCGTGTGTAATTTTAAGTGAATTTGCTTTGGACATAGGTGGATTGATTTGCCGCGCTACCATTTTCTTTTTCTTTTTTGTTTTTGTTTTTGTTTTGTATGTCATGTTTGACTTTTTTTTAATTAAATTAATATATTACAAAAATTCCCAACTGATCGTTCCAAGAATTTTTGAAATTGTAGGCCGGTTATTAGGGAATTCTTGTACGCACAATAGTGCAATGTGAATGCACCTCACCATCTCTCCCTAGAATTCGACTTTGTATATTGTTTGATCTATGAAGGCTGAGCCATTGTCTTCATTCCATAATTTCCTTGCCTGATACAAGTTATCATGTATAAGATCCTAAGGAATATTTGAAAACACGGAAAAAGGAGGGAAAGATTACAATGTGGCTTACACATCCGAAAAGGCTTAACGACCATTCGTTATAGGAGAAGTTGGTGCTCTTTTTTCCACTCACAATTTCTAACATCAAAACACCAAAACTATAGATGGAATTTTCAGAAAATCTTCCTTCCATTGCATATTTTGGTGCCATGTGTCTACTGTAAAAATATGATAAATTCATGTAAGTTTGAAACGTCCAATATTAAAAGCAAATGGCATGTTCATAGTATTATTTAAATACTGTGTGCCAAACATGCCTTTAAGGAAAACAATACTTTCGTCAATTCAACATTTGCTTACTAAGTTCCTACGACTCTTCCAGTGTTTGCTTGATCTTGGTTGGCTCCAAATATTCATGCTATTCCAAAATCTAAAAACTTTGGATTGAAAACAATAACATCAACTTAAGAAGACCCTTCACATCTTACTTAACTTTCAGTGTTTCTAAATTAAAAACAATTTATTTAAACATAGATAAGTGATTGTCTATTGACGCATCTTCAGACATTTTGCTTAATGAAATAAATCAAACGAGATAAGAACACCATGATTTTACGTAAAAATCCAAGACAAGAAAAAACTACAGGTATAGGAGTAGTGTTTTACTATAATCAACAATGAATGTTGTTTACACAAGATCTCAATACTCTCAATCAAGATCTAAAGCTCTATCAAGGCTATATCAATGTAAGTTATCTTTACAATTCATGAATGCAGTATATAAACCCTAAAATGAGGTTAAAGAAGGATTGGAGTGCTGTAAATGCTTTAAAATTTGAAATGCACCTTGGAACTAACGAATCATAGTTCAAGTGCCAAACAGGCGATGACTCTACCGTTTGAGCAGTAAGTTGGTGACCAACCCCTTTTTTTGAGTGCTCAGTGATATTTTGAAGTATTGGAAGGATAAAGAACAGCGTGGAATGCAACTTAGAATGGTGTTGGGCACATTGTGTAGAGAGTTATATGTAAAAATTCAAGAAATGTGAGTTTTAGATTGATCGAATAGGTTTTCTGGGCCATGTTGTGACTTCTTAAGAAATTGAAGTTGATCCAACTAAAGTGAAAGCCGTACCGAAGTTGTGTAGACCATCCAATGCTAGGAAAGTTTACATTTTCT